TTAAACTGGAGCCGGTCATAAGCACACTGCCCAGGTATGGGAAACTCTCCACTCTCTCCACAACTGCCCCATCACCGATTGGGAGTTGTGGGGGTGGAGTGTCCGATGGTACAACATACCCAGGCAGGTGCTTAGTTTTGGTGGGGCTGATGGTAAGGCCCCATCTCTTAGTGGCATGCTCCAGTCTCAGCAGCAGCGTCTCCAACTCCTCCTCTGAATGAGCAGCTATTACCAAATCATCGGCATACATAACGTGGTTGAGCAATAGGGAGCCATCCCTTGACCCCACCCGGGCATCGATCAGCCTCCCATTATATCTGTACCATATGGAGATTCCCCCGGTACAGCTATTGAATGAACAACGTGGTCAAAATAGATGTTAAATAATGTGGGAGCCAGAGGACATCCCTGTCGCACCCCAAGGTGTACAGGGAATGGCTCTGACTCCCGGCCATGTAGTTTTACCCGGGCCCGCTCACCATCATGAAGGTCCTTAACGATCGTGAGCAGAAGGTCAGGTACTCCAAAAGCACGAAGAACAACCCAGAGCCCAGGCCTACTGATGGTATCATAGGCCTTGACCAGGTCAATAAAGCAGAGATGTAGGTATTTCTGGAATTCCCTACACCTCTGCTGTAGCAGATGGACAGAAAATATGGCATCTGTGCAGGACCTCCCTTTCCTGAAACCGCATTGGGGCTCCGCAAGCCTCTCCTCAGCGTGCCTGGCAAGGCGATGTTGAATAATCCTTGCCAGGACCCTTCTCGGCACACTGAGGAGTGAGATGCCCCTGTAGTTGTTACAGTCTGTGCGGTCCCCCTTCTTAAAGAGGGGGACCACCAGGGCATCCTTCCAATCCTGCGGAACCCGTCCAGTGGTCCAGACTGTTGTTATGATGTCATGTAGGGCAGTCTACGCACAAACGCCACCCTCCCTCAGCATTTCGCTTGGGAGATCATCTCTGCTCGGTGCCTTTCCTGGTCTCAGACTCCGGATCGCCTTCAGTACTTCCTCAACAGATGGCACCTCAGCCAGCCACTCACAGGGGTGACTTCTTCCAATATTTGAGGCACCGCAGCCTCAGTAGGTTCATCCTCACTTTGTGCCACGATGTTTTCCTGGCTGAGGGATTTTCCCTCCCCCAGGACCTCACAGAAATGCTCAGCAAATCTGCAAACCTGTTCCTGGAGGTCGGAGATTGGATCACCGTTTTTTGCCCTAATGATGGTAATAGGTGTGGCGCTGCAGGTTACTTTTTTGATGGAGTTAAATAGAGATTTGTGTTCGCGGGCCACTGAGGCAGACTCCATCTCCTCGCCAACCCGCGACCACCACCCATCCTTGCAGCGCCTCACGGCTCTCCGATCCTCCGAGCGAAGGCTGCGTTAAGCCTCCTCATTCTCTGACGTGGGATTCTGCAGCCGATGACAGTGGGCCTGTCGCTTTTACTCAACTATCCTGAACACCTCCTCTGTCAGCCAGGGTCTCTGGGGAGGTCTGGACCGCGTACCCAAAGCAGCCAATGCAGCTGCATGAGTAACAGTCCTAAACCTCGTCCATTTTCCTTCGACATCAGGAGGAGGGGGGGACGATGCCAACCCCAGCCGCAGGCGATGATGAAATTCTCGTTTGCAACTTTCATCAGATAACTGAGACCAGGCCACTTTAGGTTGGAATGGGGTCCTGGGTGTACACCCACCACCGGAGTGGAAGAATGACAAATCGATGGTCAGAGGGCAGATCAGCTCCACGGTAGGTCCTGGTGTCAAGGACATGGGCTCGCATCCGCTGGTCCGTCACTATGTAGTCCAGCAGATGTTCTTGCTTGGACCCGGCATGCATCCATGATGTTGTGTGGATGCGCCGATGCCGGAACAGCCTGTTGGTAATTACAAACCCATGGGCTGCACAAAAATCTAGCAGCCTCCTACCGTTATTATTGAGCTGATCTGGCCCATGCCCTCCAATCACTCCAGACCAGGTGCCAGCATCATGACCAACTCGAGCATTGAAGTCACTCAACAAGATGACTCTATCCCGAGGGGCCACTTTAGCCAGCACCTGTGACAGGAGGTCATAGAAGGCATCTGACTCATCGGCTTTGCCTGCATCCCTCCACGGATGTTCGTCTTCGGTGAGGGCATAAGTAACCACGACCACCACTCCGCGCCTCCGATTGATGGGAAGACGAGCCCAAAGTAGCCTGGGGCTTACAGCTTCCCACACCTCACCGCCACGCTCCCACGCCCCCTTCATTCTTTTGTTCAAAAGAAGAGTCACACCCTGTTGTTTTCAAGTCTGCTGCCCCGAGTAGAGAACACACTCACTCACCCACTCACCACACTGCAGGTCACAACAACACACTCACTCACCCACTCACTCACCACACTGCAGGTTACAACAACACACTCACTCACCACTCACCCACTCACCACACTGCAGGTCACAACAACACACTCACTCACCCACACACTCACCACACCGCAGGTCACAACAACACACTCACTCACCACTCACCCACTCACCACACTGCAGGTCACAACAACACACTCACTCACCCACACACTCACCACACCGCAGGTCACAACAACACACTCGCTCACCCACCCACTCACCAAACTGCAGGTCGCAACAACACACCCACATACTCACCACACTGCAGGTCACACACTCACTTACCCACACACTCACCACACCGCAGGTCACAACAACACACTCACTCACCCACTCACCACACTGCAGGTTACAACGACACACTCACTCAGCCACTCACTCACCACACTGCAGGTTACAACAACACACTCACTCACTCACAACACTGCAGGTCACAACAACACACTCACCCACTCACCACACTGCAGGTCACAACACACTCACTCACTCACCCACACACTCACCACACTGCAGGTCACAACAACACACTCACCCACACACTCACCACACCGCAGGTCACAACAACACACCCACACACTCACCACACTGCAGGTCACAACAACACACCCACTCACCAAACTGCAGGTCACAACAACACACCCACACACTCACCACACTGCAGGTCACCTCACTTCTCTTCCCGTTTCTTCCCCTCGCACCGCTTCCCTTTGGGATTCCCTCCCTTCGTCTCTTTTCCCCCAAGCTCTCAACAATTACCTCGTTCAACTCAACGCACGCGTTCACTCTCGTATATTACAACTTTCATGATGCTTATTGTTGCCGGTCGATTTACGTTTAGGACCTGTGGGTCTGTGCTCAGACGCTCTGTTAAAGAAATAAAAAAAACACAAACACTTTGTTGCATACTAACTGTGGCAGAAGTGTGAAGACAGTAACATTACAATTGTTTTGCAACGAAATTATTTCCCGTGTGATATTACCCTCCCTTGTTATTCCACACTCTGCGTTTCCCAAGCCTCTGTTGTATCCACGGACTCGTTCCGCGTGTAACACTTTGCGCAGTTATGATAGGGGCCGTCCATAAATGACGTCACGCACCTGGGGGGGGGGGTCAGACATTGGGACGATGTGGGGGAGAGCTTTGAGAAATGTGACGTCACATCAAAATGCGCAACTTTAAATAAATATAGACAACACGTTCTACTCAATTAAAGAGACTATTTAATAAATGTTTTCTCCTACAACATCAGAGTGCAGCGCCACATTAAATTCGCACTACAATGACAATAATTAAAAGCGATTTTAAGCATGTTTTATTTTTTTTGGGGGGGGGAGGGGGGCAGAGCTTTGTGACGTCATATTTGAGGGGGGGGGTCTGACTTTTTGTGGCGCCGTGTGACGAGGGGGGGGGGGCAAAAATCGTCCAAAATCGCGTGACGTCATTTATGGACGGCCCCTTACCAAATAACAGTCAAGAGTGGCGAAGTTCTCGGCAGATTTAAATTTGTATTTTTTTTTTATATAAAGCGTGCTATTTTGATAATAATCCACATTGAACTTATTTTTTCTTTAAAAAAAAGAAAAAAATTAGGATTGCGATTATGTTTTGCTATCTACGTTTCATTTCGCTCGTCTGTTGTTGTTTATTATTTGTTCACCGTGACTCGTCACGTATGTCGGGGAAGCGGCGGCGGCTTTGTTTGTTGTTGATGATGAAACCCGATTTAAGAACTTATTGGCTAAATCTTGACTTAAAGCTTTTGTGACTGCAGGAATTCATATTCTTTGGGCCTTTCACGTAAATAGGTTAAAATTAATAAAAAATAAAATGAACAAAGAAACTACGACGTTTTTAAATTTTTTTTTATTAATTTGAACCTATATTCACGTGACTTTACCGAAAGACCCATAGAATAACGTATTGGCTCACGGGCTAATTCAACATCAACTGGAACTGAACAGCTGAGATTAGCATTGAGCTGGCGCTCTTCTTCAGCTTACAAAACGCTGCAAGTTTCAAATTCTGTTTGGCGGTTGACTCGGTCCACCATCCCTCTGGGATCGATTAAATAGTTACCACGTAGTAGGCGTAAGCCAACAGCGCTTGCCCTGCGGAGAGACTCGCCCCCGCCATAGGAACGAGTAAACTCCGCCGCTGTCGACAGGAGATGAGCACCGGACTGTCCGGATCAAATCGGGACAGACGGAGAATTTGGCCGCTGTGTTCGGGTCAAACCTCGACAGGTGACAACCCGCCCGAGCAGCCACTCACCCGCATGCAGATGTCGATTTCGCACGGCAGGGGCTGAAGAAAAACGTTCGTGGAGACGTATTTTGGCAGCATTGTCTGACATTTCCTCCAGCAAACGGCATCGCGCGTTATTGATGGCAGGGGAGCGCCTCGTTTGTCTGCTGTTGCTGCTGCTGCTGGCCGAGACGAATTACTCCGTTTGGGCTTGAGCTCGGCGTGATGACACGCACGATAGCTGCCGCGAGCCGCGGGGCTCACAGCTCACGGTCGTGCGAGGCCGTACCCGTGGGGAGCTGCGCTGCGTGCACGGTGCCCGGTGTGGTCGCACGGCGGAGACGTTGGGTCCCGCTGCATACTACGGGGAGACTTTGGGTCCCATGCCGTGCCACGAGGAGACGTTGGGACCCGTGCCGTGCCACGAGGAGACTTTGGGACCCGTGGCGTGCCACGAGGAGACGTTGGGACCCGTGCCGTGCCACAAGGAGACTTTGGGACCCGTGCCGTGCCACGAGGAGACGTTGGGACCCGTGCCGTGCCACGAGGAGACGTTGGGACCCGTGCCGTGCCACGAGGAGACTTTGGGACCCGTGTCGTGCCACGAGGAGACGTTGGGAACCGTGGCGTGCCACGAGGAGACGTTTGGACCCGTGCCGTGCCACGAGGAGACGTTGGGACCCGTGCCGTGCCACGAGGAGACTTTGGCACCCGTGCCGTGCCACGAGGAGACGTTGGGAACCGTGGCGTGCCACGAGGAGACGTTGGGACCCGTGCCGTGCCACGAGGAAACTTTGGGACCCGTGGCGTGCCACGAGGAGACGTTGGGTCCCGTGCCGTGCCACGAGGAGACGTTGGGACCCGTGCCGTGCCACGAGGAGACGTTGGGACCCGTGCCGTGCCACGAGGAGACGTTGGGACCCGTGCCGTGCCACGAGGAGACTTTGGGACCCGTGCCGTGCCACGCGGAGACGTTGGGAACCGTGGCGTGCCACGAGGAGACGTTGGGACCCGTGCCGTGCCACGAGGAGACTTTGGGACCCGTGGCGTGCCACGAGGAGACGTTGGGACCCGTGCCGTGCCACGAGGAGACGTTGGGACCCGTGCCGTGCCACGAGGAGACGTTGGGTCCCGTGCCGTGCCACGAGGAGACGTTGGGACCCGTGCCGTGCCACGAGGAGACTTTGGGACCCGTGCCGTGCCACGCGGAGACGTTGGGAACCGTGGCGTGCCACGAGGAGACGTTGGGACCCGTGCCGTGCCACGAGGAGACTTTGGGACCCGTGGCGTGCCACGAGGAGACGTTGGGACCCGTGCCGTGCCACGAGGAGACGTTGGGACCCGTGCCGTGCCACGAGGAGATGTTGGGACCCGTGCCGTGCCACAAGGAGACGTTGGGACCCGTGCCACGAGGAGACATTGGGACCCGTGCCGTGCCACGAGGAGACGTTGGGACCCGTGCCGTGCCACGAGGAGACGTTGGGACCCGTGCCGTGCCACGAGGAGACGTTGGGACCCGTGCCGTGCCACGAGGAGATGTTGGGACCCGTGCCGTGCCACCAGGAGACGTTGGGACCCGTGCCACGAGGAGACATTGGGACCCGTGCCGTGCCACGAGGAGACGTTGGGACCCGTGCCGTGCCACAAGGAGACGTTGGGACCCGTGCCGTGCCACGAGGAGATGTTGGGACCCGTGCCGTGCCACAAGGAGACGTTGGGACCCGTGCCACGAGGAGACATTGGGACCCGTTCCGTGCCACGAGGAGACGTTGGGACCCGTGCCATGCCACAAGGAGACGTTGGGACCCGTGCCGTGCCACGAGGAGACGTTGGAACCCGTGCCGTGCCACGAGGAGACGTTGGGACCCGTGCCGTGCCTCGAGGAGACGTTGGGACCCGTGCCGTGCCACGAGGAGACGTTGGGACCCGTGCCGTGCCACGAGGAGACGTTGGGACCCGTGCCGTGCCACGAGGAGACGTTGGAACCCGTGCCGTGCCACAAGGAGACCTTGGGACCCGTGCCGTGCCACGAGGAGATGTTGGGACCCGTGCCGTGCCACAAGGAGACGTTGGGACCCGTGCCACGAGGAGACGTTGGGACCCGTGCCGTGCCACGAGGAGACGTTGGGACCCGTGCCGTGCCACGAGGAGACGTTGGGACCCGTGCCGTGCCAGCAGGATCGCTGCCTGTCCTGAAAGGAAGCCGGCTATTATTATTTACGCCAATTTATAACCAAATGTGGCTCAGAGCACACACGGACGTTCAAGAGCGATCTCTGGGCTCAAATGTGCACTGAGGAGGTGCTCAACTTCTGTTTACAGCTCTGAGCCAGTGGTGAAAAATTCCACATTCCTCTGCTGGGAGTGAGTCTACCCAAAGGGAAAAAAAACAGACGTTGATTTTCCCCATACGGTAATATTTGTTCTGTGGACCTCGAAGGGATTATTATTTGAATTAACCCCTCGCCAGGATTTTAACTAATAACCTACCGATAGCGAGCCCACTCGCTTTACCTCCGAGCTTTACGCTGGCTCAACTACTCTTCAAAATATTGTACAAACTGGCAAACAGTTTTAATAAAACAACCCTTTTTTAGTTAATAACGAAGGAAAAAATAGCAGTTTCTGGAATTGTTTTCAAACAAACGCCCGCGATCTCAATATCGCGCGGGGAGTAAAACGCAGCGAATGTCTGCCACGTCCCATGGGGAAAGGGAGGCCCTGGACCGGGCCCGAGCACTCGACTCTCAGCTTGCTGCCACGTGCTAACAAAGCTGCCACGTGCTGACAAAGCTGCCACAGCTGCCACGTACTGACAAAGCTGCCACGTGCTGACAAAGCTGCCACAGCTGCCACGTACTGACAAAGCTGCCACGTGCTGACAAAGCTGCTACAGCTGCCACGTACTGACAAAGCTGCCACGTGCTGACAAAGCTGCCACGTGCTGACAAAGCTGCCACGTGCTGACAAAGCTGCCACAGCTGCCACGTACTTACAAAGCTGCCACGTGCTGACAAAGCTGCCACGTGCTGACAAAGCAACTCTCTGAGAGGAGTCACGGCGCTTCATCTGACGGTGTTGTTGTTGTTCTTCTTGTTGTTGTTTATTCCCAAGCCCAGACGTGTCTTACCAAAGGACAGGTGCAAGTTTTTGTGACTGTGAATTCTGCATTCGAAAGCTTTTGCATCAATATTTGAATACCCCCAAAGAATGAATTGCTTGCAAGAATGGTGCTGGTACTTCGATATACGACAGATTTGTTTACCCAGAGAAAAAAAAAAACTTGCTCGGTCTCAAGACTCTGTCATTCAGGAGGTTCCGGCCAAGTTTTCCCAGTAGGGGTGATGATTCACTGCCTCTTTCCCCAATTAAAAAAAATGTAAACAAATGTTGGACCTGTGATTCCACCACACCGTGGCCTTCTCTTCTTCAATCCACGTCACGGTATTTTATTAACACACCGATTCAGGTACCACAACACATAGGGTATGAAAGGGGATTGACACCGGCACAACCCACACATTACGGATTATAGTGCAATAGAAACCTGTCTAAACCACACGTTCCAGTAAACTGTACAACTCCCCGGTGTCTTCCTAAGCTCTGATATCCCTGTAGGAGAAGAAACAGGGAGTGGGGGGAATGTGGAGGCAGGGGGGGGACTGAATGTCCTCATGAATCCTCTTCAGAATCAACGCCCACTGGAGGAGAGGTGGTGAAGGGGGTTGACGTCGTCACGGGATCTTTTAATGTCCACCGTGAAGGGGACGGCGAGTTGTGTTTCCATGTACGAGCTGCGCTAGGAACCGGGGGGGGGAGGGAAGGGGGGGGGGGGGCGCCTAACCGAGTTCGAACCGCGAACCTCCACAACAAACAACAACAACAACAAGCGGCTTAGCGCACTACCGCCGCCGGGTACGCGTCCGCCGCTCATTACACCATCCAGAGAATGTAATGCGTAAAAAAATAAAGATTCGCGAGAGACGTTACAGCCTGACGGGTTCGACGTTTCGCCAAAACAATGCCGGTGTGTTAGGTGCAACAGAGCCTCCTGCCTTGGCTCCACAATGCCGTTGTGATTTAGCACCGCCCGGCAAACGCAATGCCAGAACCTGCCGCGGACGTGCCAAAGTGCTCCCCGTCTGACACTTGGCACCAACGAGCGCGCGGCGTGACTCCCAAACAGTTCGCAAATGTTACGGCACCCCAATAATGGCCCATCAGAAACCCGCGGTGAACACATTCTCTCTATTTCTCCCCCTCTCTCTCTCACACATCTCCGATGCGCGGCCAACGTGCCGTCGTATTCCGGACAGCGCGCGCGCGCGCCACGTGATGCATGCACCGTGGCTGGCGGGTGAATATTTTTGCGCAATTTTAACGGTTGTGGCAAACATACAAACCGGAAGTTTCCCCGATGGGTTTAAAACCCCTGCAATGTGATCGGCAAGATGCCTTCCTGGTTTTTTTTGCACAGAATACAGGTGAAAATAAATTATTACGTAAAAAACATGGGTTTTTTTTCAATGCACACATTTTTGTTTGCACTGAAAAGTAGAAAAAAATAACGATTCCCTGCGCAAATGAGCGAGTGTCTCTCAATTTGAGAGTCGCAAGTTAAAATCTTGGTTTGTGGTGGACTCATCATTTTAACCGGGGTTGACAATATCGGTACCACCTTGTTGAAAAGTCATCAGTGGTTGTCCGATGGTGATACTCGCCCGTGCCATACGAATGTGGACTCGCCACCACTGGGATCGGGGCTGGTAAGCCAATTAGCACCGCCTCGATAATCTTTTGAGCAGGAAATTACTGTTGTTGACTTTTAAAGGAGTTAGCCAAATATTCTAACCATAGGACCACAGAGATTTGGGTAATTGTTGGTGCCAGTACTGGCTGCCTTCCCGCCCGTCCGTGGTTTCTCTCGCGCCTCTGAATCATTCTCTCTCTCCTTCTCTCTCTCTCTCCTTCTCTCGAATTTTTTTTGTATTTTTTTTACGATCAGAGTAAACAAGAAGATGCCTCGGTGTAGTCGGCACTTTGCTTCGTTCATCATTTCGTTTTTTTCAATGCTTTCTCTACCCCCTCTCTCTACCCCCCCCTCCCCTGTCTCTCTCTCTTTTCTCTCTCTCTCTCTCGGGCAGAGTGAACTGTGCGAGTTACAAATTTTCGCTGTGATTAAGCATGGCGAGCGCTGGACGCGGCAGCAGGCGTTGCTCCTGCGACCCGCGTTCTCTCCAGCGCTGCCCCTAGCGGCCTGGGCGCTTGGGGGTTCTCATCCCCGCACCTCCCCCCCCACCCCGAGCGTCGCAGAACTGGAAGTCATTCTGCCGTGAGGGTCGTTATCACGACCGCACGTCGGCACAGCCCCACGAACATCGCCGCGTTCTCGATGTATTCAGCAAAGCATCGTCATTGTAAATGGCAGTACGCAGGTCGGGGTGAAAACCGGTCGGATTTCCGGCTGACTGTGTTCCTGCTGCTGTTAGATGTGGACGAAGCGCAGCACAATAATAAAAATAGGGGTTTTCCTCTTTTTTTCTGGCAATAAAACTGAAACCTTTTTTACAAGGAATCATGTGTGCATTAACCACAATACTTGTGGTCAAAATGCAAACAAAAAAATACTGATAATATATGCATTGTCCTTGAAACTGATTGGTCCACACCGGAGACGGTTTTATATATTATCAAAGTGTGTTTATTGTTTGAATTTTGACCACAGGTATTGCGGTTAATGCAGACATGATTCCTTGTAAAAAAAGGTTTCAGTTTTGTTGCCAGAAAAAAGAGGGAAAACCCTATTATTATATTTTGGTACTGGCAAAGGAGGTCTAATGATGAAGATGCGCGGCACGTTGAGCGCCCATTTGCCGAGCCGGGCATTGGAGCGGTCTCCAAACGTTCCGTGGACCAAGGGGAGGAGAAGGCCTAAGGCCAGAGGGCGGGAGAGTGTCAAGGCAGCTCTGCAGGAGGTGTGATTGTGTCTCCTGTGCAGAAGCTGCGGGGTCCCGCGGAGGGGAGGAAAGGCATCGGGGAGGTGCGGTGGTGGAACCAGCGCTGTCCCCTCCACTGTGGCGTCACCATCTCCCCAGACACCACCATCTCTCCAGACACCACCATCTCTCCAGACACGACCATCTCTCCAGACACCACCATCTCTCCAGACACCACCATCTCCCCAGACACCACCATCTCCCCAGACACCACCATCTCCCCTAGACGTCACCATCTCCCTAGACACCACCATCTCCCTAGACGTCACCATCTCCCCTAGACACCACCATCTCCCCAGACACCACCATCTCCCCAGACGGCACCCTCTCCCCTAGATACCACCATCTCCCTAGACACCACCATCTCCCCAGACGGCACCATCTCTCTAGACGTCACCATCTCCCCTAGACACCACCATCTCCCCTAGACACCACCATCTCCCCTAGACACCACCATATCCCCAGACACCACCATCTCCCCAGACGGCACCATCTCCCCTAGATACCACCATCTCCATAGACACCACCATCTCCCCAGACGGCACCATCTCTCTAGACGTCACCATCTCCACAGACGTCACCATCTCCCCAAGACACCACCATCTCCCCAGACGCCACCATCTCCCCAGACGGCACCATCTCCCCAGACGCCACCATCTCCCCAGACGCCACCATCTCCCCAGACACCACCATCTCCCCAGACGGCACCATCTCCCCAGACGCCACCATCTCCCCAGACGCCACCATCTCCCCAGACACCACCATCTCCCCTAGACACCACTATCTCCCCAGACGTCACCATCTCCCTAGACACCACCATCTCCCCAGACACCACCATCTCCCTAGACGTGACCATCTCCCCCAGATGCCACCATCTCCCCTAGACGTGACCATCTCCCCTAGACGTCACCATCTCCCCCAGACGCCACCATCTCCCCTAGACGTCACCATCTCCCCAGACGTCACCATCTCCCTAGACACCACCATCTCCCCAGACGTCACCATCTCCCCTAGACGTCACCATCTCCCCAGACGTCACCATCTCCCCAGACACCACCATCTCCCCAGACGTCACCATCTCCATAGACACCACCATCTCCCCAGACGCCACCATCTCCCTAGACGCCACCATCTCCCTAGACGTCACCATCTCCCCAGACGTCACCATCTCCCCAGACGTCACCATCTCTCCAGACACCACCATCTCTCCAGACACCACCATCTCCCCAGACGTCACCATCTCCCCAGACGTCACCATCTCCCCAGACGCCACCATCTCCCGCCGCCAGTCCCAACCGATTCAGGCCTCTCTCTGATGACTCACGGCTCCCGGCAGCAACCCGAGCACGCATGCCACATGAAGCGGCGGTGCGCACCGCCCCATTATTTATGTGTGTACTTGTATTTTATGCGCGTGGCTGGGTGTGACATTCACCGTTTTAATGCCTCCCGTACAAGTTATAGATTTAAAATGTCTCTACACGCGGCGTCGTTAAGCGTTCCCTGCACGTGCGTCAATCGACACGAGCTGTTCCATCCTTCTTCGTGCGAGATGTTCATTTGTTCATACACTCCGTTCGGGTAAAGTCCCCGTGTATAGCCTGAAGCACGCAGACACAATTTGCCCCGGGACTCGCTGTGGTGAGTTCTTAGCGAACCGGCTGGTGGAAGGCGGTGGAGCGAGCGGCTCGCAATCCGAGTTCAGATCTTGTTTTGGGGTTGACTCGGCCCACCATCATCAGCCCTTCGGGGTCGATAAAAGCGAGAGCATTAGCAGCCGTCGGCTCATTAGAGCATCTTGAAGGTGGACGCGTCCATGGTAAATAACGGAGCGTTTGTCCAAAACATCTACGCAGCCAGCTACAGACAGCGCCAGTATCAGTCAGATTACACTTCGCTCGTTTCCTGAAACTGGAGCGAGGCAATTTCAAGAGCCTGCGAATGCTATCGAGTTGTGGTCATGCAATGAAAGCCGTCCCTTGCCATGCTGAAAACAAACAAACAAACGATGTACTCGTGATGAAACAATGGTGCAAGTTTCTCAAATTCCACCCCACCCGGCCACTGCCTCCGTCCACCCAGGAGTACTCAAGTTCGCATGCGGTGGGGAAAAGCGTGGGGAGGCCCACCGTCATCTTCCAACGCGTGCGGTCGACGCGTTGACAGAGGAGGCCGGTGGTGGCCCTCTGGGATTCTCCCCAGTGAGAGATCCCTTCCGCTAAGCCGTGGCGTGAGCGAGCAAAATTACTGACGGTGTCTTCTCCCTCCCTCCCTCTCTTGTTTAACGCTCACACGCGCGGCGGCGCCGGCCATCAACAACCACTCGCCGCCGACCACAGACACCCGCGGGTACTTTTAAAACACTCGGGCACAGAACGCCGTCCCTCTGCGTCGTGTGGTCGCGAGCAATACATTAATGTGGGGGAGCGAATGTGATCTATGGGATAGCGGGGGGACCTTCCGTGGAGGCAGAGGAAGACGGATGAGGAGTCGGCGGCTCTGTGCTGATAGCCGCGGGGAGCAAATCCAACGCATCCAAGTCCATTGAGCAAGACTGACTGCTGATGAGACGGTGAATGTTGAAACCGGTCCAGAGTTTTGCTCGTATTAAACCAACCGCTGAGAATTGTACGTGGCTGATGGAATGTTTAAAAATACTTGCATTTGTGTTGTTATTGTTTAGAGAAATGTGGGCAGGAGGTAAATAGCCTGCTTATTATTTTGATTCTCATGAAAGTGGCCCGAGTGGTCACGCCTTCCGGCCACCCCCTTCACACGCGCCTCAGCAAGACGAGCCTGGGTTCGACTCCCGTGTAGAGTTTGTATGATCTCCCTGGATCCTGCGTGGGTTTGCTCCGGATTGTTCGATTTTGCTCCCATAGCTAAACCCTCACTCACAATGTCACCGGTGTTGGCCATATATCCCACGGTGGAATGATGTGATCTTCCTCGCCTGGTATGGAGGAGGTTGTGGGTTCGATCTCGACCCAGAGGCCTGTATATTTGGAGTTTGCGGTTTCTCTCTCCCCGTGGTAGTGTATATTTGGCTGCTACAAATCTCCACGCGATAAGCCACTTCACTGAGCTATCTTTTGTGGCCAGGTCGCTCCTGAAAAAGAGCTATACAGCTCAGTGGGCCTTGCCTTGTAAAATAAAATCCCATTGCTGAAAACATACCCGCAAAAAAATAATTGGGATTACGCACAGCAGTGGCAACATCGCCTCCTACTGAGAAAACTGGGCAGGACCCTACTGGAAAAGACACCGTGATGCTTCTTTTCCTGGTCAAACGAGTGCGACGATCGTCATAATGAGAGCACCGGCGAACAAAATCCTTCGACTGGTCTCGTCTGTTGAATATTCAGGCGGCTGTCTCCCTCGACAGTGGATGGAGGCGACGATAACCGCCAGTGGTGACCCAGAGCCGAGCAGCCCCCCCCCCCCCCCACAGCTCGACTCGAATTCCTCCACATCACTCGCTCTGGCGGCTAACGAGGCATTCGTTGGCTGAACGGCGAGGTGAACGATGCACGGAATGACCGAGGAGACGAGCGGTGTTAGCGGCGGTTATTAAAGCGCCTGCGCCCACAGGGGGAAACCCGCGTGCATTGTGGGCAGTGTTAATGTATTGTAGCTATTAAATAATTACCCACGGTGGTCACGGGGAGCGGCCCTTATCAGTGTAATGCGGAGCGGGAAGGCTCGGGTGGGTCAGAGGTGCATGGGCGCGCTCAGCCACTGTGCAGAAACGTAGCCGTAACACGTTGCCACTTATAGGCCATTCTCACACACACTCTCTCTCACACACTTACTATCACTCACACTCGCTCTCACTCTCACACACTCGCTCTCACTCATACACACTCACTATCACTCACACTCTCTATCACTCTCACTCGCTCACACTCGCTCTCTTTCACACACACGCTAACACTCACTCACACTCTTTCACTCACTCACACTCGCTCTCACTCACTCTCTCACACACATACTCACACTCGCTCTCACTCACACTCGCTCTCTCTCTGCGGTGACCTCAAGTGAAGATTGGCACACTGCACGTTGCCATCGGCCGTGTGGCTCAGCCGAATCTCGCCAGGGGTAACAGACTTGGTGCATTTCCTGCGGTGCCAGGGAGGATCTGCCCCACCAGTACTTACGCTGCCAGCGGCTCAAACCAGTGTTCCGCCTTTTTGGGGAAATCTTCAGGAAACTGGGGGTGCCCTTCTACAACAGCAGCTTCGTATATGGGGTGGTGCCTTACCTGGCTAACAAGCGCCATGACCTCGCCAACTTCGCCTGTGCTCAGGCGGTGTACAGAACAAGAAAAAAGACGCTGCAAGGTGACACTGAAGGCTGCTCTGTGCTGCTTCCAGTGTCCAGGGGCCTGCTCAAGGCGCGGCTCCGGCTGGAGTACGCCGTGTACCACACACGTGCCGGTGATGTGCAGCGCGTCTTCTTCGAACGCTGGGGAGCCGGACAAGCCCCTCTCTGTACCAGCGTGGACGGCACCCCCCACGTGTTCACCTTCTGAAGCGCTCGCTCGTCACCGTGGCGTGCGCGATGACCACCACCACCACCACGTGACTTTTCTTTCGTGTTGTGCGCGGCGCATTTAGCGCCACAGCGCGTGGATTTGTAGCGTTTATTTGTGTAGCTGGTGACTTTGTGTATTTCATATCGGAATCGCCTCCAGTGCTGTTGCTGCTGGCGGCAATAAAAGTTGTTTAAACGTCTTAGTCTCTCACACACACTATTCGCAATTATTTGCTTCCGACGACATACAAGACGAGGCTGCCCAGGAGTTGTTAGATGGAGGCCCTACCTTAAGTGGCTCTGACAGGGAGCGTCTTGACAGCCCTGTCACCCTGCAGGAGCTCCACGTCGCTGTGAAAGGGCTCGCAGCCGGTTACGTCCCAGGGATTGATGGCCTGCCAGTTGAGTTTTATGCGGCCATTTAGGATGAACTCGGCCCCTGGCTGCTGGAGTTGTTGACAGAGAGCCTGCGGAAGGGTGAACTCTAACAATAGCTGCAGGAGAGCGGTGGTCACCCTGCTGCTTGAGAGGGGGGATCTGCACCTCTTGTGCGCCGATTACAGCGTTTTCCCCAAGGTGCTGGCCAACCGTCTCAAGATGGTGTTTGGTCAGCTGATTCAGCCTGAAAAGTCATATTGTATCCCCGGCTTGTGTATATGTGATAACATCAGTACGGTCAGAGATATAATTTTCCTTGCAGAAAGGGGCCATCCATTTAGTAGGTACGCAAAAATATGTCAAAACTTGACCCCTCCCCCCCTCCCTGTACGCACGCGGACTTTTTACACCCCCCCCCCACCCCACCTGCGTATGTACGTTTGACGCCCCCCCCCTCCCCCCGGAATCCTATAGAACGGCCGATATTTAATCCACACAGATTAAATATCGGCCGAGCTTTACACACAGCTTTGTACAGCACAGTTATACTTGGCCGTGTTATCCGTCCTGGCCGGTCATTCAAAAACACGACTATTATTATCTTAAAACACACAATTAAAACTCGGTGAACCAGTCTCTATATGAAGTGCGTCGACTGAACATCTGCTGTAACGGTAGCCCGATGTACAGAGCAGTGTCAGTACTCAAGTCCGGGGGGCAGCAGCAGCAGCACGAACAGAGAGCACCGTGGCAGCTAAAACCTTGAGCCAGCGGCAGTCCGCAGTGAGGCCAGATTGAAGGATGTGTGATCCATGGGGCAGGCTGCCAGACTATGTCAGACTCACTGCTGA